CATCTGTGCCAAAATTCAGCGAGATCCATACAACCGTTCTTGCGATACCTCCAAACAAACATTCGCATTTATAATATTAGTAAAAAGTAAGATAAATATTTTTTTATAATATTTTAAAACTCTTTTTAATTGCATCAGAACATATCGTCATGCCTGTCAGCACTTTTGCCAAAACAGATATAACAATAAACGTAGATTTCTGTCTCAGAAACTCACGGTAATATAATGTAAAATAAGCTTATAGTACAACTAAAGACTGTCGTGAAATAGAGTAAGTTTTTTAACGAGTTATAGATGGCTTCATCTTTAATTCTTTGTCCTTATCAAACCTTTGCGTAATCAAAAAGACAGCAAAATATTTGTAGTTATCGTAATTATTATATTAGATGACACGATTTCGTCGTCTTATAAAAAGTTCTCCCAACAAAAAGATCTTTTATCGGTCAGTAACACGTAGGTCGTGCGTTTTTATAGGTTAAAGATTATCGACTAATAAAGGGTAAAATGTTATCGTACCAAGCAATGAATACTAACAATTGGTTAATTGTTTGTTGGTTAGATACAAAGATCAATGTATCCATAATAAAACTTCTGTCATATCTCGCACAAAGATGTCACTATGGTAATAACTTAATCACATACTAGCGGTTGACCGCAATTTCTTCATCGCAGGATATAAAAAAAAAAATCTATAATATGCCTTCGACCATCAGCTACCTTCTCGTCTACGTTCCGTCAAAATTGGTACAGTCTTACCGGAGATTATCCGGATTAAACGTGGTCTTGCAGACAGACATACAGTAATTAAAAAAAAATCGTTCTTCGTTATCAGTAAATATCATATGTACGATTTTTTTTTAGATTTTTCATACATCCATTCAAATTTATGTGTAATTATTCAAAACTCAGTGGATTTCATATTACATACGTAGCCCGATTTGCTGAAGCCAAATAATTGTCAACTATCTGCATTGTATAAAATGTCATTATTTCCGATAAATGTATAAAAACACAGAGAAGAGAAAAGAGAGCGTCGGTTGCTCAGGGGTCAAGCACTCGACTTGCAATCTGCAGGTCCTGGGTTCGAAACCCACCATGTACCAATGTGTTTTTCGATTTCCGATTTACATATGTACATCTATCCGACGTTCCTACGGTGAAGGAAAACATCGTGATGCAACCTGCACATATCTGAGAAGAAATTCAAAGTCATGTGTGAAGTCAACCAACCCGCACTTGGCCAGCGTGGTTGACTATGGCCTAATCACCCTTAACTTAGGGTAGGCTCCGAGCCCCTCGGTGGGGACGTATAGTGAGCTGATGATGATGTATAAAAAAAATAGTACAAGGACAGCCAGTGCATTAATTTACATTTTAAATATAATATTTACGTAAATACATTTTATTAAATAACAATAAAATCAAGATGATTCGTGAAATTCCTAAATACTTGAATGACGTAATCTACGTATCTGATCGCGATTGTTGATGTTATCCCTTTGGAATGCTTATCACTATTTGTATTTTGTATTATACGAATATTTGTTCAAAATTATAGATAACAATAAAAATTATAGCGCATCTAGGTAAGTAATATTTTTAAAGTAAAGATTTATTCGCATTTTTACCTTAAAATTATGCTCTTTTTTGGTAGTTTCAAGCGCTTTCCATTTTCCCAAGCTTCCTTAAAAAAACATATGTACACGCATTTACTCCGAAACTACTTTTATCTTTTTCTGATCCTTAAGGATACTATTAAATTTATTGATATAATAATGCTTACCCATTTCACCGCCTTCTCTACTATAGAATACATCCTGTACATAAATTATAAATTAAACTTTAATTCACATCAACCGTAATGCAATTACTGATGACTTGTAATAAAATTTATAACGCGGCGTGCTTTCACTTCGATAAAAGTTGTAGCAAACATCTATTACATCCTCGGAGCGATAGGAGATCCTGCACAGGTGCGGCAATCACGGTCAGGAATGCAGCAGGTGAGGCAGGGACAAGCTCTGCCTTAGAACGTTCAAATCACTTCTAACCGCAGGACTATGACCGACCATAGACTTAAGAAGTTTGCGAATGGTCAATGATTATTTTTTGAAACATGATTTGTTTTTTTTTTAATTTTGTGTAGTTTGTATTAATCTTATTTCTTACTAATGTCTATCTTTATTCTTACTAATATTATAAATGCGAATGTTTAGATGGATGGATGGATCTTTGGACCTTTGAGGGTATCTCCAGAACAGCTGAACGGTTCTCGATGAAATTTGGCTTACATATAGAACTACTAATTATGTGTTTTTTATCCGCGCGGGCGGACTCGCAGGCGACCGCTAGTAATATATGTTTTTCAATTAACTTAATGGTGGTTTAAAGTATGTAACTTTGTTAGTTTAGAACATATGAATAAAGTAGAAAAATTATCAATATTTAGTTTCAAATAAAATGCGACTCTGAAATCGTTCAATGAATTGACAAAAGGGAAAGTTTAAATGTAGAGTTTCTAAAGGACGCATTGCGAAGTGATTGACTGTCATTGCAAGGCTGGTGACGTAGGATGTGTATACTAACATACCGATACTTACCGTGGGTTTCTGAGATTAAAATCCCCGCTTATAACATTGATATCTCTGTTTCGTCAAACATGAAAGACAGGGATGATGATTTTTTTATACAGTTATTGGTCTCAGAAACCCACGGTTATTTAGTTCGACGCAATATTTGTACACTATTGCAATATGTTGATTGAGTAAAGGATTGATAATTCTATTCCTGATAACACATTTGTACCACTTTATTATACACAAAGGACTGTGAAGAAATAAAAAATGGTATTTCACAATAAACATAATATAAATAAATAAAACTTTTGTAATTGATCTCGATTGTATTGAAAATATTTGTGATTGTGTTCAACAAACGTTTGTTTTATCAAAACTTAATTAAGAACATTAAAGAATTATTAGGTAAGTGAAACATAAAATTGAAAATAAATTGAATACTCATATGTTTAAATAATTATAGCAATCTTACTAATAATATAAATATGAATGTTGGGATGGGTGGATGTTTGTTGGAAAGTATCTCCAAACGGCTGCATGGATCTCTCTGAAATTTGGCACAGATGTAGAACATAGTCTGGAAGAACAGATAGGTTACGAATTAAGTTTTTTTTTAAATTCCTCGCGAACGTAGTCGCGGGCGTCATCTAGTTTGAAATAAATGACATCCTACCAAACGACGCCTGAATATAGAAGAAATGATAGAGTTGGCAAAAAGAAATAATAAACCTTGCTACAGACGTGAGCAAATAAGCCAATCAAAATTACCACTGCCTCTTATTAAAATAAATTTATTGTGCGTGTCTATAATATGCTATAGCCTATGTTGGTTAGTGTAATTCTAGACGGCTACGTATATGGTATGGTAAGTAAGACGATTAAAAAGTACCGCGACAGGTGGCCGGCTGTTAGAAAAGCGTTAGGCTTAGCGAACTGGCTTCTCTTACCTCGCTCTAGGATTTGTATTGAATTAGTAATGCATTAGAAGCCAACTGTACGCGTTCAGGAGTAGTGGATAATAACTATTATATTTAGTTTAAGATGAGCTGAGTTTACTGAGTCGTACAACCGACACCTATAATTTCTTTTTCTAATCTTACTAATTTTATGAATGCAAAAGTTTAGATGGATGGATGTTTGTATGAAGGTATCTCCGGAACGGCTCAAAGGATTGTGATGAAATTTGGCATACATATAGAAAATAGTCTGGTAGAGCACAAAGGCTTCTAATTATGTTTTGGTTGCAACACGTTTTTTATTTTAGTATCAGTTATAATCTACCACATCCTACTAATTCCTTTAGCACTATATCGTAACCTATTTTGCTTAATTAAATTAAATTATAACACTATCAGAAAATTCTTATAAGTACATATTTAAATTACAACCAACTAGATAAGGTTATATTGTATACAGTATCGTATAAAAATTGAAATTACATCACGGACTTACAAAATACAACAATGATATAAAATACCATCACTAATTTACGTAGTTAAAATTGTGGACTTTTCTATTGCTATAAACATATCCAAACACATTCTTAATTTAAAATATCATTGTGTATTCCGTTGTATGGCGTATTTAACACAACAAACGTCTACAAATTCCCTATCTCGGAACATTCGGTGGTACAAAGCGTTCTTGGCCCGTTAGTTGCATGTCAATAGATAAATGTACTTATACGTGGGCGCCTCGCACCTGCCAGCCTCTAATGATCACGGAATGGACTCTCTAACACGATTCTAATAGGAAACGCGCGGTACACGCCACCTGCCCGCCTTCACCAATCACGCACCGTCTCTTATTCAACACCTACAGTTTAAATGAAGCTCCATTGTTCAACTGTCACTAACGAATTTATTATTAAATCTCAAACCAACTTACGGTACAATGTAACAGAACAAATAATTATATCTAAGAAGAAAAAAATATGATTTTTAAATTGCTTTCTCGGTACCTTTCAAGTAGATTTCAAATTAGTCGTAAGTAATTTATTTTAAGAAGAGGTTTTTTAACAATGGTTAAACATAACAATTCACACATTGATACGCACAAAGTTGTAAACCTAACAACACCGCAAATACATCTTAATTAATTCAATTCCTATAAGTTCTTTTGGAGCAAAGCCTAATAAACTTATGTGTAAACTGTTCAAACGACACAAATCTTTACAAACGACTGCAACTACAAAAGTACAACAAAGCAAAAGTGAAACATTTTGGAAACATCAATTTGTAATGCAACGATACTGAGACTTTTTGTTAAATGTCCGTGAACTGGTGCAGGCGTCCGTTGCGGCATTATATTTCTACACCGCCTGAAAATCTATCAACTAAATAATATAAATTAGACAATTTACAAGCTGAAGTCAGTCACAACCGGACTTCCGATTGTAAACAACCAAGGAAGTCAACTCGCAAAATGAGGGGTCTGCTGGTGTTAGGAGTTGTCTGCCTCGTAGCAGCGTGCTATGCTGAGCAAGCCGAGTCTGACATGGCCGTGGCCGAGACCAAGGGTCACCATCACGAGGAGGGCGGTGGTCATCATCACCATGCGCATCATCACCACGAGCACGGCGGCAAGGGCGGCAAAGGCCACCACGGTCATCACCACCATCATAAGGGAGATGCCGGTCACTACGGTAAACATCACCACGGCGGACACCACCACGAACATGGTGGCGGTCACAAGAAACACTGGGACGAACATGACCACCATGGCGAGCACCACGAGCATGGACATCACCACAAGGGAGGCAAACACGGTCACCATGAACACCACGACAAAGGTGAGCACACTGACGGCTACCACAAGAAGTACCATAAGGATCACTTCCACAAGGACCATCACTTCCATGACGGACACCACGACGAAGGCAAGCACCACAAGCATGGTCACCATCACGGACACCACGAAGAACATGACGGTCACCACAAGAAGGGTGGTCACCATCACTCCGGACATCACGAGGGTCACCATGGCAAACATGGTCATCATGATAAGCATCATTATGGTGAAGATCATCATGAACATAAAGGCCATCATGGTCATGAGGGTCATGGGCACCATCATAAAGGTCATGGCAAGAAAGGTGGTCATGAGGACCATAAGCACTGGGGATTCCACCATGGTAAACATTAAACATCATAATTTTGTAAATAAAAACCTTTCACGATCATACGCCTGTAATGGGATAGTCAAATGTGAAGGTAATTTCTGTCGTCTGAAGCCAACTTTAAGCAACACCTGGACATGCATGACAAATGATAAGCATCATTACAATTGTGGTGAAACCAAAGATTATTTTTCATGCTACAATTAGAAGAGTCCTACTCAGAGCTAACCGCTCAATTGTAATTTAATTTTTATAACATTTATATTGTAAATGTAAAGATTGTTTTGTTATTGTTTTTTACTATTTTTATATAAAAATATACGACTGTTAAAATGTTGTGTTACATATTGAATTTCTTTTATCAAATAATCATAATCAATTTTGGACGTGTCCATCACGAATTACACTTTTCTATAACATTTTTATGCATTAAAAACATAGCATTTCACGTATTACGAATACAAGCCAAGGTGTTAAATGAGTTTTCAAACCAGGATATCCTTTAATGGCATTGCAAAAAGTGATGTAAAATGGACGCAATACATCCGGCGTGGTCGACAGTTGCTCCTATTACAAGTAGAAAATCCACCGAACACCTGGCCTTGTCAGGAAAATGACAATTTTCTCAGTGCCGAGAAATGCGCACAGCGCAGCCTGCGGCGTAGATCGGGAGGAATATAACTCGAATGTGACTGACGCGTTAATGCCTACATAAATAGCAGTGTAACGAGGAAAGATTTATTACTTGAGATTAATACACTATAAAATTATGTAATAAACAAATGTCTTCGGAAGTCATTTGAAGTGTAGACTTATGACTAGATTTAGTCGAACAAAATATCAGAAAACTGTAAAGGTGTTAATTTTTTTTTCGTTTTGTCTAATGGCATTCTCTCACCTGACTCTACTATTACTACGATTTTTTTAGCTTTTCATGACACCCATTATTTGATCTTTCATATTTCAAGAAAGAAAACTGGCAACATAGCTCTGAACTCTTGAAATTGTTGTCGTTATTAATAGTGGTGATTATCATCTAATTATTTGGTAATTCGCTCCGCTCGCTTCAAATCAACACATGTTCATCTTACTACTTAAGAATAGTTTAAGGCAATATAAAAATAATAACAACATTAAGAAATGAAGTTGAAACATCGATGAAAGCGTTAAATTGTATGCAGTCAAAGCTCGCGGCTTCAATTATCGTGGGGTATGCAAGTTGCATACATTAAAATAATACGATAGCGGCGCAACGTGAGATATTAAGAGCCGCGGGCGCTACGTGACCACTAACAATGAAAGTTAGAAAGATTGATACAGATCGAAGCTCGATTACAAAACGCGGAGGAGTGACACGCGCGACGCCTCGGGCCGTAACTAGTTGAATTATAAACTACAAAGTAAAGTACCGTAGTTTCTACGCGTGGGATTACAATGATGAAATTGTTAAATGGTATTCGTAATTAAGGCCTCATAGCCAAGGGCTAAGAATACTGTAGTCTTACAACACCAACGCTTTTCCGCCCTGAGAGAAAGTAGGATATGCGTTTAGTCTATTAGGATAAACAATCTATAAATTCAAGGTCACAATTTCAAAAATCCGTCTATTTAAAGACATTCTAAATTCGGTATTTGGAATGGACTACGTTAAATCATTATTAGCACATCTCTTGACGACTTATTCTATAAGTAGAAGGTTATCAGTAACCTAAGAGCGATTATAAGAGAGGTTATAAGTAGGTTCAATCAGTACTAGGCTAATGTTATGTTACGCGCAAAATTTAATTATATTTTCGCATCCCGGGACGCAAATCTAACAATAGTCAGTCAGTTTAATAGAACATTTGTCAAAAATACATTATAGGTACAAGTGTTTGCAGGTGTTCCTTGTAAGTGGCCAATAAACTTTCGTCTACGTTACATATTTATTTTAGTTTTAAACTTTTAAACGATCACGTGTATACGGCATGTTCAAAATTTATTGACAAAATTAAGAAAAAAATCTATTACGATAGACATTTTTATATATGGAATAACATATACATCGTGTAGTCTGTAATTGTCTAAGTTTATTGACACGCGGTAGATCGATTTATTAATAGTGCTGGATAACTGCCAATTATTTCTTACGAGTCATTGGCGAGGTCAAATTCCATCAAATCACGTGAAGGTAATTATTGATAAATTGTTATTATATTACAAATTGATAAAATATATTAATTACAAATTTCACTAATAATGATAAATGACCATGACCGCTTTGGTGTCAAAACTTAAGACAAAACATAATTTAAAAAAAAATGTATGCGTTAAAAAAGTAACCACATAATTAATAAGTTTAAACATTTGACAATTAAAAAAAAACAAAGGAATTAAAGAACATGCTCTATATGAGAAGAAGTCAGGGGCCACCTGTGCACACTTTGTGATTCCCACAACGCCTCCGCGTCAATATTGACACAGATTAAATCAATTCCATGGATGCTCGCTATCTCACGTCACAGACCTGTCCGAAGAGGAAGCGCACCGTTAACGCGCCTACGCTCAGATTATCGAAGAACAAATAAAAAAAACTAGGCACAGGTGTCCATTGTTCATTTTAACCTCTGTATTACATAAGCAGGTACTTTTAACCAACTTGAAAAGTAAAGTGCCCAAGGAGGTCGTCAATTCGTCTGTGTGTGTTCTTTAACTAAATTAAACAACGTAAACGGTTAATTTATTCATCAGTCAATAATTACGCAAGTACTAATCTGAAAGTTAAAAGATTTGGCTTGCAGCCTTTCGGCCAGGTCCTGTTTTAAGCTTACGAGTACTAATATTATAAATAAGAATGATTAGATGGATGGATGTATGTTTGAAGGTATCTTCGGAACGGCTAGACGGATCTTGATGAAATTTGATAGTGATGTAGAACATATAATAGTAATTAAGTTTTTTTTAATTCCGCGCAGACGGACTCACAGGCGACAGCTAGTCCGTAATTAAATTAAACATAATTCGTTGAAGTATCGCAAAAATAAATACGACATAGGCATTGATATGTATTGTCGTAAATAGATATCGTTTTACACCTTTGAAACTATAATAAAAATATTGTTCACTTAAATAGTAAAACATAGATAATATCGATAGGAATTTAATAACCCTAATGTTTATTGCTCTTTGTGCTTTTTTAAATCATAAAAAATATTACGCTTCATAAAATAATAAAATAAATTGTAACTAACAAATACTAATTTCCAATATATTTTTTTTATTTTCCTTATTGATATAAATTAAATTACTCATAAATATTTTTTGTGACCAATGTCACAATCATGAAGAAGACAGTACCAGTCTTTTAAATTACAAAGCATCTACAGTTCCTCTGGTGTTGCAGATGTCCATGGGTGTCGTTGATCACCTCGGTGTTCCCGCCGCTCGTTTGCCCCCTTCTCTTATATAAAAAAAACAATAATCCGATGCTCTTTTATTTCTTCTCTCGTTCAATCCCGTGTGATTATTCTAATAACTATAATAAATAATTTATGTTATATGCAGACCATTCGAAGTATTATACATTCGACAAATCGGATAAAATTGCATTCGGTTTCGGTGTATCTTATATATATATAAAATTCTCGTGTCACAATTTTCGTTCCGAAACGGCTTGACCGATTCTCATGAAATTTTGTGAGCATATTGAGTAGGTCTGAGAATCGGCCAACATCTATTTTTAATCCCGCGCGGACGGAGTAGCGAGCGACAGCTAGTATAATATATTTTTCTTTAGGTTCTTCATTATAAATTTTATACTATGTACTTTTATGTAATTTTATTTATTGTAATGTTACTCGTCTAACGTAACGTACTGCCTAAATAATAATAAAAATTTCATCTATGATTTGAGCAAATATATTATCGTAACAATCTTAATTAAGCTTTGTAATAACGAAGCGTATGAGATTCAACGTCAATAATCTTTAGCCGAAAGACAAATATATACATTTGATATGATTAGTGTCAATAAACTCCCCAAACAGTCTCGAGGCACGAGCAGGCAAACAATCAGGGTTAGAACGTAGTCTCCAGTAGTAGAACGTAGTCTCACAAGAATTATCTCGATTATTCGAAAGCAATTTACCATTTTTATAAAATGTAATAACTTTAATCTAACGATTTTTTTTTATTTAATCCATATTACAGATTAGGATTGTTTGTACATGGATTACAAAACTTTAGTGTTTATTTTATGATAGCTGTCGCCCGTGACTATGTCCGGACCGAACTAAAAAACCTAGTTAGTAGCCTATGTGTTCTTCCAGACCATGTCCTACATCTATACGAAATTTTATGCAACGCAACGCAAACATCTATCCATTTATCCATCAAGCCTTCCAAACATTCGCATTTATAATATTAGTAAGATATCTTTAATTTTAACAAGACTATGTGATTGTTTTGTGAATGATAAACATTCAAAAAATATGAAACACACTCCTACCTAATCTAGAGCGCTTAAAAAATGGCGAAAATTAGAATTGGCACCGTTTACTAAAACATCTTTAGGTCGTAAAATTTTAAAGGAACGCCCAACTAACAAGCGAAGATCGTTTAGTGGACAGCTGCGGATAGATCCGTTTTTTTACGAATCCGCATGGACATCTCTAATGGCTTGTTGTGAAATCAATGGTGCTAAATTACAGATCGGAACCGAGTTAGTCTTTGTCGGAATCCTTTTAAATGGCCGGCTCGTTCACATTGTGTTTAGAGGCTATAGTTTTAGCCCAGTTAATTATTTCCACAACAATCTAATTTTTTATTTATTTGTTTTATAATGAACCCATTTTATTCATAGGGTTGTCACACATACAGAAATAAAAATAATAATGACAAAACATTTTTTCCTTTTCATCAATAAATAAAAAAAGAACTTAACAAATCAAAAATATGTTCTCCGATCGTTCAATTTAACCATTACACCGCGAGGCCAAGGTCGTTTTCAATAACCGTGGCACAGATAAACGTGTCGATCCGACAGTTT